CCATCAGGAACCGGTGCGAGAGAGATACCCAAACCCAGATTCCATGTACTTAAGGGGGTCTATAAATCGGTGAGAGCCGAGAAGTTGTTTCTTCTTGAGCTAGGGCTGTTGGGCGGCTTCTTCGTGATAAGTATGCTACCTGGACATGCCTTCGTGCTACTTAGGCTAGAAAGATGGCTGCTAAGCACACACAAGTACTTTCTGGATCTCAAATTGCCGCACAATCATTTTTGACAGAACCTACTTCCTCCATGTCTACAGTCGTGCATTTCCCCTCATGGGGTATTTTGCCTGATCCAGTAGCCCTGAATACCATGATCAAACAATGGAAGCCTTCCTTCCCGCATAGACGCTGGAGTAGCTTGGGTTGCGTTTCCAAGATTTGAAGTAGGGGCCCCGAATCTATCCCTATATACTCCCAATATACTATATAGTAGTTTCCATGTTCTTTTCCGTTCTCCCTATCTAACCCCAATATACTATGTAGTAGTTTCGATGATACTTTCCATTATCCCTATAAATGGGCCCTTAGCCGGACGTCAAGCCAAGTAACCAAGCCCATTCTTGTACAGGTTTCAAGATTCGGGCAAGGATATATTATGGTATATGATAGTATATTATAGTATATTATGGTATATTATGGTACAGCATGGTATATTATGGTAGGTTATGGTATGTTATATTTCAGTAGTTCCTGCACCTTATGCAGATCAAACCTGCGAACCGAGGCGCAGGCTTTTTGGTAGCCCAAACCCTTCAAAAGTAGGACCCTATAACCGTCATATGAACCATAGTCTAAACTCCTTAAAGGGGGTTATATAGGGGATTATATAGGGGACTACTATAGGGGATATTAAGGCGGATACGAGGAGTTTAGACTATAACCGTCATATGATAGTCATAGGGTCCTAATTTAGGAGGTTGGGGTTACCAAACCCCCTGTTAATCACGGCCCCTGTTAATCACGGCCTTGGAGAGCAAACCCCTAAGTAATCTGAGGCTGCTGGGCTTCAGCCAGGGCAGTAACCTGGCGCACCCCCTCGCTGCCCAAGCTGCCTTAGGCGGGACGCAGTGCGGGCAGTGAGTGGCATGAATCTTTGTCTAGGCTGGCTTTGCGTGGGGGTTTCCCCAAATCGGGGGAATTTTTGGGGGGCGCTTATTTAAAAAAATATTGTGAATTGACTGCTAACGCTGGACCACCTTGGCAAGGGTAGAGGACAGCCAGCCCATTCCAAAACACCCCCCCAAAGGAATCAGATTCCGGCCTCGCAGACTCTGCCGAACAGCCGAACCCCCTCTGCCTCCCCGGAAGCTCACAAAACCGAGCCGATCACCCCGAACTGTGCCCACTGGCGGGTTAACTTCCGAACCTGGATCTAAACGCCCCAAGCCTCTGGCCTCGGCAGATCTGGGGTCTATATGGGGGTTTACCAAAATTAGAGGTACTTTTTTTGGGGGGTTTCCATAATAAGGATCATAGTATATTAGGGTCTATATTGGGGTCCCCCTATTTTGGGAAAGTACCATATAGGGTCCCCCTATCTTTGGAAATTGCGCATCTGCGCAGGTCAGGGTCATCCGCTGCACTGCGTGGTGCACTTTTGTACCACCAAGCCCGGCTGGGTTGGACAGACGCCAGAATTGTTTGAGTACCAGACGCTTGGCCTGCTTCAGAGCACTGCATTCCACAAGTCACTTGAGTAGTATTTTATTTGGGGAGACTATGGTACCGAATATAGAGTAAGATTATATCCTCCTTTTGGGGTATAGTACTTTATATGAGGGCTATAATCTTACTAGGTTCAACCACCAGAAAAACGCTACTCACTTGAGCTGGAGCGTAAACTCCTTAAATGTGGATTATGTAGGGGATTTTGTCGGGGAGTATTACAGGGGTTATAAGGGGGATACTAGGCGTTTAGACTCTGGCTCACATGGTTCAAGGGCTTGCCGTCTTCTGCCGCAGCTCTTTTGCCTCTCGAACTTTGGATATGTCCTACATAACCCAGGTTTCCATTTCGTATTTCATATTGATTTCCATTTGACTCTCCATTACGGGGGGGGGGGGTAATCGCTATTCCTACATAACCCCCTGTAAGGAGTTTAGACTATAGCTTGCCAAAACTCAAGGTTGCCTGTGCCGGCCCTCGTAATCGAAGGCAAGGTAGATGAGACCGCAAAAGGCAGCGACGAGGCCTGTTGTTTTCCTGTCGGCCATAATGCAGGCGTCTCATACTACGGTGGATAACAGAAATCCTGCATGACCCCAGATACCCTAAACCTTGAGAATTATGGTACTACAGTATACTAAGCTCATGCAGGTTTTTTAGTATCAACAGTACTACCCCAAATGCAGGGTATGATCCACGTGTGGCATTTTAATGATATCGATACAGCAAGAAGTTGCTTTGAGTGGGTGACGCAAAGAGTAGGCAGGTCTGACTTGTTCGGCTTGACCCTCCCCTTAAATCCTATAAGCCCTAAACCCTAAACTCAAAGACCCCTAACCCCAACCCCTATAATCCCTGTAGTTTCCATTTTCTTTTCCTTTGTCCCAATATAATCCCAATATAACCCCAACCCCTATAATCCCTGTAGTTTCCATTTTATTAACCCTATAAACCCTCAACCCCTGGATGGCATCTTTGTAACGAGTCCTGGAGGTGGCGTCAACGTATCAGGATCCTGCAACTTGGCTGTTTCAGGGCCATACCTGGAGGTTTAAGGGTAATAGTCGGCCAATTACAAAGGATTCTATCGAGGTTCTTTAGGGCTGATAGGGTTTGTGGTCATTCTGATCAATTTTAACTGGGACTTGGAATTCAAGTGGACCATCTAAGGGGGTTATTGGGTTCTCCTAGATAGTAGCTTCCATTGAATTCCATTTCATTTTCGATTATCCTTATATAACCCCTTTACACTGTAGTAGTTTCCATTTTATTTTCCATTATCCCAATATAACCCCAATAGGTGGCACATCCTCCTTGGTGGCTGAAGTCTTCGTGGCGTGGAACTGTTGTTCTGGTAATGCCCTGGCATGAGGAAAGGAGGGGAATCAGGCGAGACATAGTCTATAGGGGACTACCATAGAGGTTATCAAAGGGGATACTAGGAGTTTAAACAATGGCTCATGTGAAGAAGGCGTCCTGACACAGCTTCTGTAGAGCGTCCGCTGCAACACGCCCACTGTACCAAGGTACGACTTAGTCACAGCGATGGTCTGGGCCTTAGCTCCTGCAGAGAACCGGCCTGGCTGTGTCTCAACATCGGATTCAGGGTTTAGGGTCTAGGGTTGCATCCCCGCTTAGAAAAAAAATGGCGGAACCCCCCATCTCAAGATTCCCATAATGTATAAACCCAAATGGGTGTTTTTCAAGATAGTCCCCATAGAATCCCTTATAAGGGTTTCCATGGCCCCCTTGCAAGTCCTATGTATCCCTAGGCTCTCTAGGGGAACCCTTTTTGGAGAAACTCCCGAATACCTCAACCCTAACCCAGACCCCTGGGAGGATCTAGAAAGTAGATCCCCCTTGAAGGGTCCTAGAAATTTCCCAGTAGTAGTATAGAGTACCAAAATGGGGGTTCTACTTTCTAGATAAACCCTAAACCCTAAACCCTAAACCGTGTCTGGGAAGTGCTGCAACTCTTGGCAGAATCGAGGCCACAGGCCCTTCCCGAAGAAGCCGGATGAGGCCAAGCAGCTCGCGGAAAGCATCCACAACTTTGCCGGGACCTTGGGTTTGGGATCCTGAGTTCAATCCTAAACTGAAACCCTCAGCCCTACATGGGTTTAGGGTTTTGGGTTTAGGGCTAAAGGTTTAGGGCGGGCACTACCTAGACCCTGATACCCCAGCCCTTTTGACTTGAGGATACCTGATCTTGCATATGAGCCATAGTCTAAACTCCTTAAAGGGCGGGTATATAGGGGATTACTATAGCGGTGAAGGGATTATTAAGGGGGATACTAGGAGTT